CGAGCCGTGGAAATATGCGAGATATCTATTGGATCTGAAGCGTCACTTGTACCGTACGACTGGCGCGCTTGCCTTGTTACGATGCCATTAAACCTGGTTTGATTGATGCTGAACTCCTCTTGTATCGCTCGGTTGATGGCATCGTCCAGCGTCTTAAGATACTTACGGAACAATTATTACCGATCGGACCATCATTTAAGCCTGCCATGAGCGTTTATAAATTGCATCAAAACATCAATTAGCTCTTCGACAATGCTTGATACCGAGTAGTGAGCGCACTGTGCATATCTCTAAGACCTTGATGAAGATTCAAGAACTCGGCACGGTACGAAACTCACTCTGTGGTGGTTCAAATGCCCTCTTCTGCTCGACTTTGAAGTCGCTTCCCATACGCCCAACTCTTTGCACGACCCGCAAGGTTGAACATTGCGAACAACGCACGCTGTAAGGGGTCTTGTAGTTGTCTTGCAGTGATTGTTGCATCCAACTCGACAAACCATCGTGAGAGAGGCTCGTTCATCCGTCACACGATTACATCGTTCTGTGCGAAGAAACATGGGTTGCGGCCTGCTTCCAAAATTCCATAATCTCATGATGCATGAAACTGATGGCCACGGCCTTCTGCTCATTCGGAAAGACGACTGCAGTGAACTGACTACAGTAGCATCGCCGATGACTTTTGGCATCCGCTCGAGTGTCATCCACTCATGTGAAGACAATCGAGGAATATCACATTTGTCAACACCTCAGCTCGCGGTTTTGATGGACCAAGTGATATCCCAACTCCCTTCATGTCGCTCGATTAAGGACAAGAGAATGGTTTAAATTGGAATGCGCGACGCGCTCAGTAGCCGCGTCGTCAAATACAAATTGAGCGTTGCGGATTAGACCGCTACAAGTGCGAACAGGTGTAAGAAGGTGTTGTTCATTAACCGTACCTTAAATACAACACACACTTGGGCGACGAGTAAGCGATCCCCAACGCAGAGAGAGGGAGGGTCCCGACTTGGACGGAAGAAGAACAGCTTAAGATCTTAGAAGTAATTCGCAGCTGAATTGGAAATGGGTTAATGGTTTCTAGATACACTTAAATGCTCATAGATGTTTTACTAATAAAATCTTGTGTTCCTCTGTTAAAAAATTCAAGGGTCCTCTGAGGTTTCACCTCAGATTCAACTGATACACGATCGTGGTTGTACGGAGAATGAACTTCGAAAGCTTGCACTTTAACTTTCGTGGAAAGTATCCAGTAGAAGGGACTGGCTTACGCCACCCAATTCCAAATCTTGAACTTCAACTTTCGTGAAAAGTATCCAGTAGAAGTGACTAACTTATGCCACCCTCTTCTAAGGACATAGACGCGTCGGTCAGATCCCCAAGTAGGAACCAGCATTCTGTATCTCACAATACATACCGAAAGTACCTTCACGTAATGGCTAAGTGTAGCCCATTACACCCAGGGGTTTACAAACTCATCTACTTAAAAATAGGGTAAGGCCGGTAAAGGCATGTAATTCGTTTTCTATGCAGCCTCAAAATAGAAGCAGCTCGCATCAGCACCATGGTTTCTTTGCGCAAGTGCAAGATATCTCCACAGCGCGTTTTACGCGGTCCGTCTGAACATAAGTTTGCATTGGTACCGAGAAGCTTGA